GGTGGTAAAGAAATTTGCTCCATTTTCAATTAAAGAATTTGAAATTTTAAATCGTGGACCCAATGACCCAATGTATCGTGGAATTGGTAACCTTATCTCTGATTTAAACGAATGCACCCATCTTGCGAACGGAGAATCGAAGTCTGAGGCATTCGCTAAACACTTCAAAGATATATACGTATCAAAAGAGGGCTACGAAACAAGACCAGTCAACACTTCAGGGTCATCACAAATTCAAACGCCACCGGTACAGCCGCAGAGGTATTCTTAGAACATTTAAAATAACAATATTTCAATGTGTTTCAAGTTCCCCTGTTTACATTGCAGCGCTGAATCTGATATAAATAATCCAATTGCTTCAAATGATGTCAGTTCAGCAACTTTCAACACTGTGTCAAATGATATTCCTGATACATTTGTGACACCATATCATTTTACTAGCCCCAGCTTTTCACCGTCAATATCATTTCAATCAACACCGTCACCCTCACAGTTACAGTGGTATTGCTCAAGAATTAAAAACACCAAAATTTTCACATCATTCACATAAATTTGATTTTTATTCAATTTCAGCGTTCAATTTCAGAATAGCTTCACCAGGTCACCTGACATCACATCAGCTCCTCCCAACACAGTACCAAACGACAATACCTACGCCACTGGAAATTCTTCTAATATATCGACTTTACCCAGCCCTAACTTCTCACCGTCAATACCATTTCGACCATCACCGTCACCCGTACAGTCGCAGAGGTATTCTTTATGAATTAAAAACACCAAAATTTCAACATTATCCAAATAATCTTGTCTGTTATCTTACAGATTTGAAAATATTTTAATCGGTTCATCAAACTTCCAGTCTACAACTCCCAACAAAGTACCAAATGACCTTTCTGCGTCTAAATTGGCACAAGATGAAACTCGATCAGAATTAAATACGCCATTACCAGAATCATATAATGACGGCATGACTGGATGTTCTTCTATTCTACCGACTATGGAACCAACTCGTTTGACTAATTTCAACTCTTTTAACGTGACACAAGTAGAGTATAGTCGATCAGTCTGCGATCCGCCGGTACCACAGCCCGATTATCATAATTATGATAACATAGATTCGAATACGATACCAATTGAGCTAGATTATGTGAATAATTATGATAATGGTGGAGATGTTTCCATGGCCAATGCAAATGCGAACGATTTAATGTTTTAATGGCATCGATTTCCGATAGTAATAATTATGCAATTTTTTAAAAGATTGAATCTTCTCAATGGGCGGAAAATTTGAAATTTATTAATACAGCCGCTTTAAAAGAATACCCGTGTGTAAAATTATTGATTGACTAGTTAGTTAGCTAGATGTTATTGACTTTAATCATTTGGAATTGAAGTAATTTTAAGTAGATTTGTTTGATTTTTCGGTCGATTTCAGTAGAGGAAAATATAACGCAAATCAACTTCAATCACAGATGTAGCGTCGATTTAAAATCAGATAAATAGACGGCTATCAAGTGGTTGAACGGCTAGAGTAAACAAAATTTATTTTCAGTTGATTTCAGATAGACAATAAGTCGCTTCTGCACACCTTTCCCTTACTAGGCATGCAGAAAAGTAATACTATTAAGCAAATTGTTTTCAAAAATCAAATAAATAAGTGAAAAGTAGTGCAGTTTATTTGGATGTTAATAAATATTTTCTGTAAAAAATAAATAAATAAAATATATCGATTCGACATGAAATGATGCAATTTTTTCAAATATAAGATTGAAGAAATGGAATGATCACCGAACATTCCAATAAAAGCAATTGTGAATCATATCAAAATATTAATTATGTCAATTGATATAAAAATCGCTGATGAATTACCCAGTCAGTAAATCTTTTGTCGTACTTTCTGATAAGCATCAATAAAAATGGACAGAAATCATGATTCATGAAATATGTTTGGATCGAGGCTTGAATTGAAGCATTTTCTTTTATTAGAATTGTTTCTTTTTCAAGAGATGGCACCGAGTCTAGCCGAATCGTTTCTCTTTTGTTAAGAACACTGGTTTTGAAATATAAACTGAACAATATCAGAGAGTCCTGTTCAGTTGCTCAACAGACTTTGTCTAAGCAAGTCACATCTCTCGTGCTTTATACAAATAAATAGCCTTTATTCGAACACGGTTTTGTATACTTGTTAAAACGTACCAATTTGTTCAATTAAACAAAAAATGACCGTTTAAAACATAAAAGTGTGATTTATTTCGAGTAATTTTATTTCAATACTTTGAGTACCGAATTGAGTCCAATCAATTCATATCGTTTAAACAGTTTGACCCCCTTGAACGTCTTTTATTCGAAAAATTTATTTATATCAACTAATTTTTAAATCAAAACTTTAAACACCGAAGAACAGTATAATCGTTCAATTTAAGTTCCAAAATGGAAAACCATAATTTTTGGAATGAATCGTATAAAAAAGTATCGCTCTATCGCCTAAAATGTTTTTATAAGGATGACGCGGTGTTTGTATTGCGTCATCTTCAACATCAATGGATCATTCAAAACTTACGCGTTCGCGGTAATTTTGAGGGAAATCACCATTTTATGAGATGT